AAAGGATTTCACGTTGTAGTTGCTTGTTTTTTAGTTTACTTGTTTTTGTTTAGTGTTGTTTTGTCTGTGACTTTTTATGCAGACTTGACCAGGTCTCCCTTAAAGATGCCTGGTTACAAAAAAAGGCCAATTTAGCTTTCAACTTAAAATAGATATCCTGAATATATTTGATAAAGGATGCACTATCATAATCAGATTTAATAGGCTACTGGATCACATTTTGTTAAAGTGCTATTGAAAACTAACTCCAAATCTACTCTACTATTGATACCATTTCTACCACTAGTACTGCCACTATTGTTGCTAATGTAACGTAGCTGTCCTGTGTCACACAGCCCAAACAGCCTTGGCTCTGTTGCTTTGCTATTGTCATCTTTGACATTGTATGGATTCTCCAATAACTTCCAGTGTTATTTCTACCAGTAGAAATTATTGATATAACCGTTTGTTTACCTGTACTTTTTTCAGTGTGAGCATGCATATCAGGACATGAGAAGGTGGGTAAACATCCTCAGAGTGATGCCTTTTCTCTCTTAAAACACATATTCATACAGTATTAATAGCAGTGACTTACCTTCTATGATCGTGTCAGTTCTGCAAAAAGAAATATTGTAAGTCAAGACTTTACCTATTATACACATTATAACTTACTGTTCTGTACATGATTCATAAATCATTTTCTTAACTCCTACATTTCTTTTTGTTTTGTAAGGTTTGCATGCAGTATGAGAAAACTCCACCCGAAACCTCACCCTCTCTTCAGTACCAGTCTCAGTGTTTCTGAGGTAAGCAAGCGAGGCACAGATTGAATTGCAGTGTCAGGAAGTTGTTGGTTATTATCAGCGCACAGATGTGAGAGAAAGAGAGGAGTATGGTAATGGCACAGCGATGAGAAAACGTGTGCATGTGTCCCTCAGGTAAAAACAGGGGAACATGGAATCAAATCTGAGCCAACATCCTGAGATTGTTCCTGTTGATAAATTGATATCATTAAATATAAATGCCGAGTGTTTCATACCCTGCCGCCGCGGGCTTGGAGCGCCGAACAGGAATGCTTTGAATCCAAGGCTGGAAATTTCCCCCAAATCATCAAATCTGACAACAAAAGAAAACTCAAATAGACTCCCTTAATGAGTTAAACACACACGCACACACACATGCTCACACGCCTACACACACTCGTGTTCTTGATGAGTCTTTTAACCGTCTTCCTTATCCCTCTGTCTACTCCCGACACACACACACACACACACACAACACAGTAACACACACACTTTTTGTATGATCAATCCACATCAAACAGTAACTCATTTAAATATTCATATAAGGTGTTAGAAGATGGTTGGTCGGCCTCTCTCTTCCCCCATGTCTCTCTTTCTCTCTCCAGGTATATTAATAATTCCCCCTGTCTCTCCACCACACAGAGTTGGAGGTTTTTCCCTTCAGACAAAGTTTCTAGAAGTTTCTATAAATTAATAAGAGTGTGTTCTCTGTGAAGCCGGCAGCTTTGAACCCGGCGTATTGATCTTGCAGGTGAGTCGGCCGTGCCGGATCACGACTTCAAACAGAATCCAATGTTCCTGTGAAGAGGCCGGCCCAGCCCAGAACAATACCCATATTACCTCCATATGACTGGTCCTATCTGAGGGTGGTGGGGGTGGGGACAGACAGGAAGTACCTGGACGTGGTCGAGGAGGTTAAGATGGCTGAGGTGGGATTTTGATCATAGTGATTTTGAGGGGAGCAGTGGAGAGTGAAATCAGCTGTGGACATTGGATGTGATTGAGATGTTGAATTAATCACAGGGAACTGCCAGGTGGACAGACTGATACTGGGGCTGGATGTTGTCCTTCTTATTACAAATCAGATGTGCTCCACCTCTGCTGCAATTGAAATGATGCAGTTTGGATTATTATTTGATAAATACTACCGTTGGCTGGTTGTCAATGGAAAGACTGAAATTATACATTTGCACTTCAGTCAAATTCCACCTAAATATGCATAAATGGACTTTGATTTACTCATCTTATATTATCATTCCAGGGAAATTTCAAGGCAATAAAATGACAATATTTTGAGTAAATATTACATTTAAATTATTTAAATGGTGGTAGAAAAATCCATCAAGCATCTTCAGTTCAGTTGTTAGTGGCACTGCACTTTCAGGTTTTGTGCCAATTACCTGTAAAATTAAAAAAGGTTAAACTAATCTGAAAAAAATGCAAATATATATTTGAACAACTACAAAAATTAATAAATAAACTTAAAAAGATGTCATTTAAGTGCGTTTGTTGACTAGTAAGCATGCACGTTTTTTAAGTGTAAAATAACAGTGTCTCAATACACTTTAATAAAAGAATGAACACAATATCAGAGATAATCAGAGATACTGTAACTTTTTGTACTTGTATACTTTTGTTCATTTTTCTTTTTCCCTCACTGTTTTAATGTTTCTTTTCTTTAAAAGCCCTTCTAGGCATGGGTGTTGCAAATTAGCAACTGCTAAAAACGCTATGATACACACATTGGATTGCTGTTTTCAGTTTATCTATGCAAGCTGTATATCGGTCCCTACTAAAATACACTATAAACAAAAGATAATAACAATGTCACATGTATGGATATATATTTTGTTGCTTTATTTATAAAAAAAGAGAAAGTCTTTTCAGTCTTGATTTAAAAATCGAAATGGCATTTGCCTCTCTGATCGAGCAATGTAAAGTACAGCAGTAGCAGAAAAATGCTTCTTTAGAATAATGAGAAAGTTTGCATCTTGTCTAGCAGCCATATTGCTAGTTATAGTGTTTTTCTTTGTTTAGTTTCTGCCATAGATGTTTACTTAAAGAAATTATCTTTTTGCTATAATCGCAAATAGAAAGATAACAAATTCAAAAAGATTTAGAAATTAGAATTGGCAACATTTAACAAAAGTTCTACCAAAAATTAATAATAATAAAAGAAAAACTCTGTTGTTTCTTTTTATTAATGTTGTTAAAGGTTTTTCACCCCAGTAGTTTAGCTTTGTTATAATATATACATGAATTTACATATGATCCAGCCACTGCACTTGTGTGAGATTTTTTAATGTATTGTATAACAGCTGTTAATCCAAACAAGGCAATGTTTATTGTTAATCAGCCATTGGCTTTAGCAGGTGCAGTTTCTAGTGTTTCCAGGTTTCATATATTCTATATATGTCCTATGATAAATACGTACAATATTCATGGGACAATTTCTAGACAGTAACACAGAAAGATACAAACAATCGGCCCAAAAATTCTAACAGAGTTAGACCTAAATTATACTTCACTTTCAATTTTGACCTTTTTGTATTAGCAGTCTATTTGATGTGTGTTGCTAACTGGTTCCAATCTGAGGGGACTGTTTTTGGTTAGTGTATTAAGATGGTAAAAAGAAGAACTGAGGTGCATAAAACCGTTTTCTATACTAAGATGAAGTTTGAATGGCAGTAATTGAAATAGTTTATTGCAATTGCTTTTAGTTGCTAGATGTATGCAGCAGATTCAAGATTTAAAAAAGTGTATGACAGAAAACGTGAAAAAATAAAAAGTTCAAGACATACAGGGTATTTCAGTTTTGCACACAAACATACACGCATAATGCCGAGACGTAATTGTGTCACTACTGAACCTGTGTGTGTGTGTGTACATGTCTGTGTACATGTGTGTAAGTCAGACAGAGTCTGTGTAAGGGCTGATTAGCGATTAGCAAGTCTTGAGGCTGACGGCAGAGCTGATCAGTATTTCCATTGTGTCAGAGCTTTAGGGAACAAATCCCAACATTAACCCGGCTCTCATCTGCCTGGCAGAGCGCTAGCAGCAGCCTGCCAGCCATAGGCCGTACATCCAGCAACAACCGCAAGCTAAGGCAAATGAATCCTCCTCTGACGGTGCTTCATTGTTGTCTCATTTCAAATCAAAAATACATTTGATCATTATAGAGCTTCTAATGTTGCTCTCAACATCAAGGTTGATGGGCCGTGACATGCGATATTTAATAAGCAGTCTAAAGTTTGTCATAATCTGCTTGACAAAAATGACATTTAAGTAGTACCCCTTGAGGGAGAAGTAAGTGAATTCCTATAGTTCTATAAAAAGCGTAATCCCCTTGAAGAGCAATAACTGGAGCAAAATGTTCCTTTTAAGAGCGGATGTGTCTCTCACAAGACACTGGAGGAATACTGTCACATAATTGTTCTGACTTTGGCTTTAATTCTTATAGAGAGCTCACCAGGTGCCACCACTGAATGTCATTGGGTGTTCAGCTGTGACCTAAGATCTACTCCAGAGTCCTCAAATGAGGCCAGCAACAATTATAGTTTTCCATGGATAGCGGTCAGTTCATCTGTGATCATTTGCAATTATAATTTTCTTATTGAAGTACAGAGGATTAGCTCAGAGAAACCCCACCACTGGAGGACTGCATTACAAAGTTTTTAACAGGTTCTTTGGCAGGAAATCATCAGTCCAGTCCACATGGGATAAATTAGGAGTGAGTAATAAAATGACCTTCTGACCTCAGTCTGTGTTCCTGAAACATCTGCAGAGGTTACATTCACTGAAACCACCAATATAATAAGATAAAAAGACAATTTTAACATGTCTACATGGGTCTACGTTTTCACTTTCCTTGTGCTTCCACTGTGAAATCATTTTTTTTCTACTTTTTTCTGATCCTAGTGGTGTTTACAGCACCAGGTGCATCTGGTTGACTTATCAAGCTTGCATAACTGCCATTGAGACTAAATATAGTATTTTGTATACTTGTTTTCCAAGGTGATACATACCCCTCAGACACCTCAGATACCAAACTGATGAAGGCAAGATAGCTGTAACTGCCTCACATTTTAGTTTTTAGTTAAATTTGTTACTGTTTTTGGTTCCTACCCGAAAATAATAGGAGATCGTAGAGGCGGAACTAATTAGCTCCGATCTTGTGTTCCGCACGTAATTAAAAGGGCACAACACCTGTAAGCGAAGCGCTAAAAACATAGCATAGCAAGAGCTCTCCAAGCTAAGTAAATATTAAGAATATAAACATATCTGGACGTATATTATCTGAGGAGAAAGAAGACAATGAAGAAGACTTTAAGATTTAGCCCCTCTTAAGTAGAAAGCAGCCTACGAGGTATGTTTCTTTTGTATCCGGTTGTCTGTGATATATTTCATGTGCATAGCTTGTGTTAACTAGTGTGTAACTATAGCGGCACACACTGAATTCAAGACATGCATTTTATTTATTGTAACCTTTTATTTTTTCTCTCTTTTCACCCAGTTCTTAGGGGTTGACATGATATGTTGTAGAAATAAAACCCCGTTTTTTAAACAAGACCTCGTGCTTCGTGTTGACTACTGGAGGGATCTACAGTAGCTAAAAGCGTTTAGTGAAGTGAAAAAGTGCGGTGTACGTTACTCAGGGTACATGCAATAGATTATAGGAGCAAATGGTTCCATAATATGAGGGAGTTTGTCTCCTTAGCAAAATATGGAAGATCATCTATTGCACAGGTTGACTTTACAGATTTGTAGTAAATATCTTTTTTGGATGATAAAGTTTATCATGCATGTAAACTGCTCTAGTGGGTATCACTGTTCATTTTCCTGAATGTAAAACATGTTATATCTCTGAAAATGAAATACTTTCTCTGTGAGTCCTTATGCTAAACCCTTGACATCAAAACAACAAACAAACAAACAAACAAACTTTTTTCCATACAGATATTGTGAGAACTCGATAAGTCCATGTTGGAAACATTTCAGAAGAGTTCTGAATTTTAGTTAAATGCTCCTTTTCCAATTTGTTTCTCTTCTTCAGATAATTTAGTTTGTTAATAAATGTTCTATTGAAAATCTTTTGATTATAATTAATTTTTTTGTCAGTGTAATCTTCCAAGGGGCTGTGAGCCAGCCTGGAGTCAGGCTGGAGTCTTATTGGTGGTGACATGTGTCAATCTTTAGAGGACGCCCCGCCCACTGTGGCCAGACCGAGCTGAGCCAGTCTGCTGTCAGCCGCTCATCACCCAGTCCTTTTCATGTTTGCCTTTTTTCTGTGTTTGTGAATGTGAAGAAAGAAAAGAGTGTATTCCAGTGTGGTACACACACACACCAATGAGGCTCTTTCGTGATGTGCACATGTGATTTTATTTTTAGTGTTATGTGTGTTTGCTCTACACACACACACACACACACACACACACACACACACACACACACACACACACAATCCGTCCACCAACCCCTATGTTGTCTGCCAGGAGGGCAACATCAAAGTGTCTCTAGCTGTGGGCATGTGGAGCCTGGAGACTAGTGAGGGCCTGTGGAGTGGAGACTGGGCCTGCAGAGGTAGCTGGAAAATCAAGTGGCCACAGGGAGCCTGGAGAATGAGGTGGGCTTGGAGAATGAAGCGGGCCTGGAAAACAAGGTGGGCTAAGAGAAGAAGGTGAGCCTGGGGAGCGAGGTGTGGTATACTGTGGGGCAGGTACGGTCCATAAAAAGAGACTGAAAGGGGTCCTGGAGAGCGCAGTGGGCCTGAGGAGCGAGGTCAGGGTCAATAAAAGGAAGATGAAGGTGGTTGAGATGGAGGTCAGTCCTGGAGAACATGATGCAGGTGAAAAAGAAGAATTTAAAGGTAGACGTGGGAAGCAAAGTGAGCTTGGAGAAGGAGGCGGCGCAGCAGCATGAAGTCTCTCCGTGCAGGAATGTTTAGTGAAGTTTCTCAGAGCTCTACAGAAGTGATGCTCTTAAATGCAGCTCTTGGTGACAACTTTATGTATGTTGCACTTTCTTGTCTTCCCTTGATGCCTTAACAATAGCCAGACAGACAGCGAGAGCACACTGGTCCTTGTAAACAATACATTTCCTCCATGAGATGTCCACTTTTTATTGGCTGCAGGCATAGGAGGGAGGAGGGCCTGCAGGAGGCGGTGGTAGGCGGGCAGGAGAGCAGGAGGAGGTGGTGGGAGGTAGGCAGGAAACACAGGACTGCCGCTGTTGCCTCTGAGGCAAAGATCGGCTTCTTGCTCTCATCTGCCCGTCGGAGCCCTCCTCTGAGCTGCCAATCAAAATGATGGACAAGTGCTAGTGGATGGTGGAGAGAGGATTTGAAGGGACCGGCTCGTTTGCACAGACAAACTCATCTGTGATTTCTCTGTTTGTGTCTAAAAGAGACAATGCTCTCTGTAGGCACAACTTCTGCAATCACATACCCGATCAGTGGGTCATGATTGCATCATTGATCATGTTTTTCCCTGTTGCTATGTATGTATGTAGCACCAAGCTTGAGCTGTTCAGAGGCTTATAATAGATACGTATTTAGACGCACCGTATTGTCCTGATTGCCATGGATTGTGAATGCATTTGATTTATAAACTATACGTTGTGTTGCATATGAATAATGAGCTATCACTATTGTGATCAACCCAATGTACTTTTTTTTTTATTTATATTTAAAATGCTGACACGCAGTACCCTTCTAAATGTCTTGAGTACACACTTCCAATATTTACTTTAAAAATGTATTTTCCTGAAAATAATTTCTAAGAATCAGTAGATTCAGATTACTAGACAGAAAAGTTCATCATGAGTGTAACAGTCACTTGTCGCTTTTACCCTTACACCTATGATAATGTCCTGTTGCATGCACATATACAGTTTTCTGTGTTGAATGAATGAAAAATCAAGTGGAGAGATATGAGGTGACAGAGAAGCCAGGCAGCCTTCTACTGGTGTGAGTCTCATACCTGGACTCGTGCAGGCAAAGAATAGATGTGTCTACATTAGTTATTCTCTCTTCACATGGGTTTCACTACCACCTGGATTCCCCGCGACACGTAGACACCACACAGAGGTGAAGAGAGAATAAAAAGACTCTTCAGATGCAGAGTCTGTGATCATGATCGCACTGAAAAAGGGATGCCATAAAAACAACAAAGGGAGTAACATCCAAATTGAATTGTTCTGTCCTTGGAAGACACTATATACTGGCTGTATTTATGTCAGTGTCTGTTCAGTTATGGTAACCATCAGTGCTCATGCTGACTGTCTAGTTCTTCTAAACAAATCTGATACGTAAAGCGCCTCTCCCTCTGTGCCAGAAAAGACATACCAAGCGGCTACAGTGATAGGTAGTGCAGTTAGATGAGAATAACAGAAGAAATATCTGAGTTTTTACAAAGTTTTTGTCACATTTAATTGTTGTGAATACAGATAAGCACCGTTGGTCCCGCTGCAGTGCCATTACAATGATACTTTACTTTTATGTTTGAAGTCCCTGTCAGCACATCCACACATTTAAGGTTATTAATTTATTCATGGCCAAATAATTGAAGCCTGGTTTCTTGTTCACATTTTACAAATCATGGTAATAAAGAAAAATAACAACCAGTTCACTGTACTTAAAATTATCCACAAGCACCGAAAGTGTGTGAGTATTAGCAGGTTCCTTATCCAGATGGTCTACAGGATAGAGGTTGTTGCTGTACAGATTGTAAAGCCCTTTGAGGTGAATTTGTAATTTATAATTTTGGGTTATTTAAACCAAACCTTTTAAACCAAATTAAATATTTTTTACGTTACATATTTTATTTTATGAAATGTGTAGAAAAATTATACCCACTTTCTCAGTTTAATTTTCAAATTCCTTTGTTTACCATCTGGCAAGCAATGGGTCGACTAATGATACTGCAATTAGTGAAAAATGAATGTGTGTATTGTCGTGTGTGTGTGTGTGTGTGTGTGTGTGTGTGTGGGATCAGTATTCTAATGAGGACAGACAAAAGAAGTCTGTAGCTCAGAGCCAATTGGACAGAGAGGAGCAGAGCATCAGAGAAAGAAAGCCGGAGAGGGGAGTGAGCTAGTTGGGGGTTAGGGAGGGTTCAGGCTGGTGGCAGTCAGTGCCTCAGGCAGGGTTTTGGGGTCAGGCCCCCCCAGACGGCCACACTGGCCCCCCCGGGCCCCGAGAGGGGGGATACCAGGACCACGCCAGCCAAGGGAGGGGCACTCAATTAGGGCAGTGTTCAAAATTTTTGCTTGGTGCTTCAGAAGAGAAGGCCACCTGATACCTATACACCTCAAAGATCCCCCTTCACCCCTTCACCCGACTGAATGCACCTACTGCTGACTGACACGCTCAAGAGTTTGAATGGGTTTTTTTTAAGGCTGAAAATGATGCTCATATTTAAATAAAACTTTGTCAACCCATCAAAAAGTATTTCTGTCCCTCAGAATTTAAATACTGTTAAGAAGGAAAAATAGCATACTAGATCTCCCCATTGTAATAATTCTCTTCCCACAATAAATAACAAAAGCAATGCATGCTGTACAAATGCATGGAGATTTTTAACTGGATCTGTATCCAAGTACACAAACTCACGGGGAATCATGCTGGTTTGCTTCAGAATACCTAAAATCAGGGCTTTATTCAAGAATTAATAAAGTCAGACTGATGACCACAAACTAGTTTTCTAAATTTGTCATCAAAGTTGGGTTGCAATTGCACAATGCACTAAAGAGTTTAGGCAAAGTGGCAATAACTATGAAACACTTAGCAACAAGGAATAATGTTTTTTTTTTGTGTATATCAAAAAACTAAAACTTTTTTGGGCCTATTCAAATATGTTATTCACTATTATCAGGAGCACTGGATAAAGGTGGAAATGATCTGCTGGAAAAGTCCTGGTCATACCATAAAGTGGCACAGCAAAGTTCCTTCACTCCTCACGAAATATGTGGCCCTAGAAGCTTGATGACTATTTATAATTCTTGAACATGCTAACCGTGGCTCTCCCAGCTAGCTAGCTTGCTAACTAGCAAGCTTGCTAGGTCAGTCGCTAACCCAAGATGTATTTGTACCATCAACACATTCATACCACAACATTCCTCTTTTGTGGAAGAAATCTGTGGGCAGCAAAACAAACTATTGTGGTTTTGATAAAGAAGTTAGTCAATAAATGGCCTATTTCCATCATTCTGTGAACAACTGATCTGATTTTATGCTGCACATGGCTTGAGTCTGCGAACAGAAGCGCACAGTGAAAGAAGTTGGTTGCCTCGCTGAGAGGATGGAGGTGTGCAGCTGTTGCCTGCAGCTCTGCATTAACAACTCACTGTGGCTTCTTCTTGTTGTTACATTAGCCTACTTCCTACAATATTTCAAACTGAAATCTGTTGTCAAAAAATGTTGAAAATGTTGTGTTGTTTTGTAGACACACTTATGAGGAGCTATGGTGGTCAGTACTAATCTCACTGACAAAAGCATTGCATTTCCTATGACTTCCTTATAATAAAAGTTTACTCGTGTTTTGCCAGTTAAATCCTTACCCAGTTCATAATACTGCAAATGCAAGGCCTTTCATCAGTGGGCCATCAGCTCCATCACCATTGTTACATCATTCACCGATAGTGACTTAACAGGCATTTATTTAAATGAAAATTTTGATTATTACCATAAATTAATCTTTAACCTTACAACAAAGAGTCATACTTATTTACCTCCACTGATCATGGTGGCTCATTGTAATGAACTACAACAATATTGTGGTGTTTTAAATTTTAGTGTGATGGTACCACACCTCTTGAATCACAGTATAAAACAAAGAAACTACTTTCAGTTCAGAAGTTAGCAAACAGTACTGTGTGACCACATGGTGGTGCTTTGGATCTGGATCTGCACCATAGTTGTCAATTTACCAAAATCTATCAACAAGTTTTTTACGTGATCCTACTAACTATCTAACCGCTAACTACAGTTGGTCTAATTTGCAGAGTTAATAAATATGTATTTGCACTCCCCCATATTATTATATCAGAGCAGGATTGAAGACTTATAAAGAACAAAAGGGAGATTTAGATGGTACTGATGTAGAAATGGAAATTTTCAGTTGTATTTGCTTTGGCCAGTGTGTTTGTCTCTGAGGTGCTGCTGCGTGTGTTTGTGTATTTCTGGCCAGTTTCACACAGTTGCATAATTAGCAGTAGCATTAGCATGCCTAACATCTCAGCTGCTGCTCTACAATACTCTCAGGAAAGAGCCCTGTTGAAAATCCTCCCAGTAACTGTCAATCTCTGGCTTTCTCTCACACAAATTCTCTCTCTATGTGTCTTTACCGCTCTCTCTCTTCTCTCTGTGTGTTTGTGCAAAATTTCATGCATTATTGGAAAATCCACCTCATTGTCAGGCAGCAAACATTTCAACTCTTGTGGTTTTTCTCAGTTAACTTTATCATCTTTCTCTTTATTCAAACAGAGATAGGGGAGGCAGGGCTGTGCTGGATCCAGGCATTCCTCGCTGATCTGCCACATTCGAGCTGGTACGAGTTTCACTGTTGCAGGATATTTTGTGTAATTAATTGGTTCTTCTGGGGGTCAAGTGGTTTCATCTCATTTCAGTCGCCTTGTACATCAAGCAGCCATGTCTGCACCTGTTTCCTGCTCTCAGCAGCTGCCAACTGGGCCTCCCAAACCACTATTGATCCCATCAGATCACGCACACACACACACCCTTGTGCACACACACATATGCAATGCTTTATTTGTATCTGGTAATTAAATTTGCCAGAGCCAGCCTTGAATATTAAAGTTCATAGTTTATTCTTAATTTGTTTTCCAGATATCTAAGAGCTACTGCGTCAGTAATCACTAGACTTTAGAGCACATTTAACATCACAAGTCAGATTGAAAGTACTACATGGTAAACATTAGTGGACATACAGCAGAAGTTACAATAACATTGAAGGTTTTAAGATTAGTCTCTACACAACTACAAAAATATACATCAGGCTTTTTGCAGTTTTTGTTACTAAAAATTGTTACCTGCAATTCTCTTTCAGATGCTGGAGGTGCAGTGTATTTATTCTGTATAACATAAATTCACAGAGTTTCACCTCATTCAGAATATACCTCAACTGTAGAGGAAAACAAGGCCAAAGTCCCAATCTCAGAACTCACGGTGTCATGGACTTTGAGGCGCACTCCTGCTATGTCCAGGAGGGTTTAGGTCTGTTCCACTGTCAAATCCTCAAGTGCATAAGGGCGCTCTCGCATACTTTTTGAGCTCTTTATGCACACTTCCCTTACGTCTGCATCTATGCAGACTTTGGCAGATGGAATTACCCACAATTCATAGCGTTGTGACGTTAAACACGGGGTTAGCGGTGAAAGCAAGCGCTAAAAAAAGGTTAACAAATATGGAAGGAAAAAAAATAGGTTTACATGCTGTTTTTATAAGAAACGAGTAAAATGATAATTTGAAAATGACCTCTCTTCCACTGGTAATTTTCAAATTAATTTACTCGGCGAGAGACTGGAATATGTTCAGATCAGACAGTCAGTCCCTTCAATGCCTTGGTTGAAAATAAAGTCCCAATCCCCTGCGATGGACTGGCGACCTGTCCAGGGTGTACCCCGCCTTTCACCCGATGTCAGCTGGGATTGGCTCCAGCCCCCCGCGACCCTGTACGCAGGATAAGCGGTTGACGATGGATGGATGGATGGAAGTCCCAAACCCACAATTGTTTTGGCATAGTCAGTGTAACCTAATGTGTATGTTGCAAAGTGCGGTGCTGTCTCATTATACCATTTCGGACCCTTACAGCATCTCGCAGTTAAACACTTACCAGGTATTATTATTATACTGTATTACTGTTCTGATGGAATTACCACAGTTTAATATAATATAGATTGTACACATTGTCCTTTATGCAAGGCAGTACACAGTACAGTTTTTTTTACCCCGTTATCTTTTTCACACTTTTTTTGTTTCAAAATTACCAGGCTATAACAAGCTATTATTAGAGACCAGGCCATATGTTACATAGTTAATATCAGATGTATTAATACAATACAATATATTTTTGAGAATTTACAGTCAACTGGGCAGGTAAGGAGTCTGAGGAAATGTTTTCAAGGACATTTTTTTTTTAAACTGCACACACCTTATATCCAAATGCCTTCAAGTACTTTGAATAATAGGAGGAGGTAGGGTAGGCAGGAGAGGCAGGGGAGGGAGGGAGGTCTTGGCTGTCCCACAGCAGACACTGGAGCTCAGGACTCCTCACGCTGAAGAGAAGCTTTTGTTGAGCACTTGACAAAAGGGTCTCACTCTGGAGGTTAGAAGTTTAAGAGAGGCCACACAGTTTACAGACAGTCCTTCAGAAAGACTGATCCATGACTTAAAAGATTTGTGGACGTTTTACAGGTCTGTTATTTCATGCTTAAATATATCCTATAATATTAGCATTAGGCTGACCTTTTAACACTGGTTTTATTACAGCATATAAATAAGGACACATTACATTTTAATACATAATACTGAATGTTATAAATGCATCAACATAAATATTTGTTCAATATTTTACTGTAGATGGAATAAGCAAACTCCATAATGCAGATTTGATTTGCTCTGAGTCAGATATTCCTTAGAAAAATTAATTAAAAATATTTTCTCAGACCATTTCAACAGCTTGTAAACAAGCTGGCATACAGAGGACATGGTGTATACCTCAAGAAGATCTTAATTTACCCCCAAAGGGAAAGTTATCATTAATCAAAAAAAAAAAAGGACAAAACAAAGAAGACTTTTAACTGCAAAACATACTGTTCTTGTCCTGTCAAGTGAAACCTTCCTAAAGGCTTCCTTAACTTCTTTAATGTTGAAGATTTATATGCTTTTCTGAATGTTCTTCTGAATGTTTTTCTACCAAACTTAAACAAACACAAACCAAAGATGTTTATAGAAGTTTGCAAATAGAGAAATTGCCACCATGGCTCAAGAGATGACACCACCTACAGAATTTTAATCTTCTTGAGCTATCTGGAGAACCCCTCTAAAAACTGTGATACTGTGGCATGGTACACCAGGTTTCTGTTCATATTCTACAACATTTATAGGTGTGCATTCAACTCAGGTTATGTAGTAGTTAGGCAATAAAACAAAAGCTATGATGTAAGCAATATAATAATCTATTGTTTTTTGGTAATTCCGCAACTAAATTGTATTGTGGCTCTTTTTTTCCTGTTACTAGTGATTAGATGGAGATGCTAAATCAGTCCAATGGGAGTCGTAAGACAGTTGGAATCCAAACTGTGTTCATCCTCAACTGTATCTCACTCAGAACAGAAACGAGGCTGATGCATATGCAGGGACATGAATAATCTGGTTTCTCTTCTCCTGTATCAAAACTGGGATACTAATGTGCATGTTAATGTACTCAGTGGAAGCTCAAAGGAAACACTGGGCACATTACTTGACACACGTGATTTCTAAACAGTGCAGATGTCAAAGACGAATTAGAGATGTCGCAGGAACACAGAAGAAGAAGCATGAGGTTAATTCAGGTTAAAACAACAACTGTGGGGATAAAAGAAATGTTTCAATCTGTGGGCTTTTGCACTTTTGGGGAGCACTGTTGCACCTGAATGCCCTGCAATGGGCCTGTGAGCTCAAGTGCAATGCATGCTGGGATGCCTTGCAAGTCTCTCTGAGGAGAAACTCTTAAATTAGAGATTGTCAGGACACAGAAACATACACACACACACAAACATGCAGCCATGGAAAACAGCGCAACACGCTTTAAAGCTCATCTGCAAACTGATTCTGTCAGGGAGACTTAGTGACGTGCGGCTGCCTCCTACAGCTTTCCTCCATAACGGCGCCGGTCGGCATCTGCATTGTGCTGTCCACCAGGGAGGAGGAGAGGCAGCGGGCTCTAAATAGAGCCTCGCTCAGTTAAATATTAACACTCGCCTTGCTCTGACAGAGAGCAGCCGCCATGTCGCCTTCCATCTCCACCACGAAGGAGATGCAACACAGCATAGCACTCAACCACACCCACACAGAAACTCATGGCCACAACACAAGAGTATGGACACAACACATACACAGAAATTAAGTTATGTTGGGGCTTTGCAAGGCTGATGGTGTTTTCCAGCATTATAGAGTCTTTCCACGCTAACCACATAGTCTTGTGTTTTATCATCAGAGCACCAAAATCCAGTTTTTAACATTTGAAGCAACGTTCTGCCAATATTTTCCAGTTTCAAAAATCTTTAATACTTTTGCAGTATTTTGATATTAAAACTCTCATTCAATTTTTCACAAAGGGTGAGGAAAAGATCTTCTGAAGCAGCTGTCAAACCATCACATGACATATAAACAAATTTCTCCATTAAAAAGCCCGACTAATAAAATGCGATGGGTTAGCAGCAGGGTGAGGCTCGTTTCGCTGCAGGTTTTCAGTGACCTACAATGTCAGTGTAACCTCACACACACAGAAACACACACACTTTGCACAACCAGTGAGAAAGGTGGCTTTGGAGGAAGCAGAAAGTGTGTGTGGAAGTGACAGATGATCTTCCTCACTATGGAGCGGTGACTGAGGAAAATAGAAAGGAGGTATTGATGTATTTGACAAGTCAAAAGCAGTGTGTGCAAGATGCCACTCTACACTAGGGACCTATTGAATATATTGTCCTTTTTAAAAATGATGAAGTGTGCAGAGAAATGCTGTGGAAATTATTATTTGAAATAATGTTCATATTGGAAGAATTTGTAGCGCACTATTTGTGTCCAGAGCAAATATATATAAATATATATACTATAAAAGCTGAAAGTAAGGGGGGAAGTCAAAGTTGAGGTGGTGGATGGGCATGTAGCACATCCAATTTTCATGCAGAAGACTGGAACTCATGTCCTGTTACAATACAACAGTAAAGTTGCTTTAAAAAAAGCTTTTCCCTAACCTTATTCTGATATTTTAGTTGTCCAGCTTTAACATTACCTTAGTTGTGTTATATCTGAAATAACCATGATCTTTACCCAACATAAACCATATCATAGTTGCCATGCAATGATACTGTAGAAAGGATTTTGTTTTGTTGTTGGCAATGGACATAATCCGAGGGTTTGAAAAATCATCCAATATCAATGTTCTGTCTGGCAATAAGGTTGCAATGTGTTGTGGGAAATGTCAATTTTAGAATTAGGCAAATTTACAAAATGCTGAAAAATGTGTTAATGGAGCTCTAAATGACACCTGTAGCTATTTACAGTTTGAATTTGCATCCATTTGCTGAAATATCAATATTGCTGCCTGAATGGATCCCTCTCTGCTTTACTAGTACTGTAGAGGGTTTTCTTTGGCTTCTGGAGACGTTTTTTTAAATCTACCTTCTGCACATTGTTGTCAGGAGATTGTAGGAGCGAACAAATGAAATGTTTTTGTAATGCAATTTATTCCATTATCTGAAAAACATAGAACTAAATTGATGAGCCATTTGCTTTTAGATAAAGGCATCAACATTGATCAAATGGGAGAGGAATGAAGAGAAAGAATGAAAAACATCCCCAACATGAAATCTCTAGAGTGACTTGATGTTTCAAACATTTCTGAGTTTGATGTCTGTGAAGGTTCTCAGTTATCCAGGTCATAGTTGTTCAAAGAAGGTTAAAGTCAAGGGCAACTGTACTTGGTTGAAGTCCTGAGTTGAGTTTCCCCACTAGTCATTTCAGAACTGAAGAAGTTTCTTGGATGAGGGACAAAACGTCTTCTAGTATCTTCAACCAAGTCCAGTTGCTCTTGACTTTAACCTTCTTTGGATATTTCTGAGCTCCATCACATTCAACTCTGAGCTCCATCTGCACAGGAAGATTAAGTGATTCAATCAAAAGCTCCAGAACAACTGCTAAATGGACCTTGTGGTGAGATTGTTTATTCAACTGCAGTTTCCAAGGTCAAGACTGAACTCTGTAACTCAACTTTTAAGCCAACATGCATGAGAAGTCCTAGAAGAACTTGCATAACATAACATCTTGGCCACACTCCTCTGCAGATGAAGATCATGTGATACAGTGGAAAGCTCCAAACCAGCTACTAAATACACATTGTGGTGAGATTGTTTTGTCTGCTATATTTCTGTAATTGTACTTGAGGACCAAAAATGCAAATAACCCAATTGGTATGTTTTTAAGAGGCAGGTCCCACAGCAGGGTTGAATTGAAAGCAACCTGTTACATGAAACAAGCCTAACATATTTACACAACCTGTTAGTGTTAGCGGTTGGAGAGCTGCGGAAAATAAGACTGAAATTATTAAAGTCGACAGAGCAGTCTAAAAAGTATCCAGATGAGGCATAGAGGAGAATCGTAAAAAAAAAAGAAAAAAAGCAGACTTCAAAAAGCATTGTTGGAAACTATCAGTGTACGCACACACACACACACACACACACACACACACACACACATGCACGAGCACACACACATATTTATGCAATAAGGTATGGATTTGGTAGAGGTATTACACTCACATGTTTAATTCATAACTGTTTTCTTTCTTTCTGATCAGAAACATGAAAGAGAGAGTTTTGCCCGGAGAAAAAACAAAATGGCTGAACTCATCAATACTCGCCTGCCTATTCAGCAGCTATACGCAGGGAAAGGAAACAGAAATGACAAACTTCATAAGGACACTTTATTTTAATGGCGGTCCATGCAACATTGTTGCATTAGCTTTATTTGTATTGTATTATTCTTTTTTGTGGGGTTTATGATTATGTTGTTTTTATGTTCTGCCCCAAGGAGAAAACACACCAAATGAAAAAGCCTTTCTGCATGTCAATGTCTGTACAAGTACAAAAAGCAGATGCAAAGTAGACTCACAGAATGATGAGGGATAAGCAAAGTTTTGAGCGTTTTATAAAGAGTATCTGTTTTTATATTTGACAGAGTCATCTTGATCAGGATTTTTAAATGCCACAAAAAATCAATCATTCAACACTGAGCTTCAGCTTTACGCTATCAACCAGTTTTAGTTACTGCAGCAATATGTTTTTCTTGAGTAAACCACATAGCATAACAGATGCATCAAGCTTTTATTAAAAAATATACTACTACAAATAATGTTTCTGTTCTTTTGACCCCATCCTATTTATGTCAATGAGCACAGGAACACCTCTCTGTATAATGCAGTACAGTTCAACAGCACCACAAATTACATCCTTCAAATGACCATGAAGTTTAATTAACACCACTCTAAAACTGAACATTATAACGGTCATATAGGTAAGATTTAGTGCAGGGCTGTTGTATTACGCTGCATGAGTTATAACTAGGTGGACCTAACAACAATTTTCCCATAAAGTATTCATTTTGTCTTAGTTTCCCACTTGGAGGTCTTATTATACAGTAATACGGTGTTTACAATGTAAATTTGATACATATAATTGCACAGGTGCATCACCTACAGTGTTGGCTTTTACAAATCACCTCTAAATATGCGAGTGGCTGTAGAGTTGATAGGGTTTGGACCTTTAGCCATTGACCCTGCATGGTACACAGCCACCCTATGCCTACAATCACAATGGAACAAACTGAGAAACACACATTGATGAATTACTTTCTGATGGTGCACTGACATCGCATCTAGGATGTTCACATTAATGTTAGTTGTACAATTTGTTGTTTATTTTGAATTATGTCCTCTTCCCTTATCCCTCAAAATATATCAACTTGTTATACTTTAAATTCGAGTGAATAAATTGTCCCTAAACAAGTGGGCAGGAAGTGGGTCACTCTCTGTACCACAGTTGGTGAGTATTAAACATTCAAATGTTACTGCGCTAAAACACATAGCAGGTTTGTGGTAATTCAGCGGTGCCCCCTGTACACACTGGCTGATTTCACATCTCTGCTTGCTCTCTTTCCCCCCACCTATTTAGTCAGCTCAGGCTTTTTATCTCCTTTTTTACAATCACAGTAATATTGTAAAGCATTTGAAAGCTTGTAATTGAATGTTTTTCCTCTTGTACACTAAGATTCAATCGAGCATCTGAACATGTTATGATAAATCTGTTTTCAAGTCTTTGGGGGAAGTACAAGTCTGAAATCAATCAAGACAAATCCAAGTCAAGTCATGAGTTAGTCAAAATAATTCTTAAAGTGGGTATAATAAATATTTTTTATATCAACAACGTAAAAACAATGTGACAAAGTGAATTACTGCAGAGAATTATTACCAGAATCTGCAGGTCCCCTTGACTACAGAGCTTTATAGTGAGTTTCAGCTTATTATTTAGCTATCAGACGCACAACTTAACTGTTTTGATTCACTCTCACAGCACTGTTTCAGTGGAGAAGCTGTGAAAACCCACTTCCTGCTCTGCACCAAATGGCAGACAATCACAGTTAGCGACTAGCTGGTGAACATAGGCCAATAGCACAGTTAAAAGACAATGAACAATGGAGTTACATTCATCAGGTGGCCAGAAACATGACTCCAAATAAATGATAATTAAGTGGTCATGTTGCTCCGAAATTTTTGGATGTGTAAAAAATCAACTGTGTGCTAACAATTCAATTTAAAAGGTGATGATATATGTTGTGTATATATATATATATATATATATATATATATATATATATATATATATATATATATATATACACAACTTGTTTCTGCTGCCCCCAAATGAGAAAAAATGGTCATACCAGGTTTAATTCAAGTCTCAACAAATTCAAATCTGTCAGAGTAAGTCTCAAGTCAAATATCAAGTCTCTAAGAACAAGTACAGGTCAAAGCGGGAGTAAGTCAAGTCTTAAGTCATTAGAGACAAATCCAAGGTAAAGTCTTGAGTTTGTGAGAATGAGTCTCAAGTCAAGTCTCAAATCATTTGAATCAAGTCCATGTCAAGTCTCAAAGCCGTCAGCTTTGAGTCAAAGTCCGAGCAAAGTCTTAACTCCGTCAGGGTAATTTCAAGTCAAGTCATGAGTTGTTTCAGATAAGTACAAGTCAAGTGTCCAGTTTGTCAGATTATTTTCAAGTCAAGTCTCAAGTAATTTAAGACAACAAGTCTTGAGATATCCTTTGTCCCTAATATGGGTCCAGCTCCAAAAGCACTGGATCATACACCTCCCACAATGCAACTAGATATTATCTTTCATGAGACTCTCCGTGACTGGTAAACACCTGCATCTTTCAAACTCCACACCACATAACTCAGGGATCATAATCTGTAGCCTCCAAACTGAAGCCCAGACACCTGAGCGATGTCAACTGGGGGACTTTTCAGAAGACATTATACAACTGGTTTGACAGACTGTGTAGTACTCCTTGTGACTTATAAATTGAGTTTGATATGTAAAATTGATTGTGTGCCCCTTTATGTCTGATTCATGTCCATGTCTCACGTTTAATGTACAGCTCCACTAAAATGTAACATAAATTCAGGTCAGTACCTTCAGGAATAAGCAATAAAATGAGGGTTAAAAATCTATTAGAGATTACTTTCTCATGCATGATCACAGCAGTTATGCTGAGGCAACTCCTTGAGCAAGGTTGCCCAACCACCCTCCACTCAACATAGGGCAAGAAAAGAAACATTCCCCTGCATTTCACCAGGCTGTAACTCTCCATCCTGTCTGATTGCTCCGATGTATCGCTTCCATTACAGACTATTAGCCTGGCTGAGCCAAAGTGCAAACTTCTTGGTTGATTCAACTCATCGCAAGCTTGCATCTCCAGCCAGCGTTGGTCTCCGTTTGTGTGTCTAGCTGTTATAGTGAAGTCATTAAAAGTTAATCAGAGATGCACCATTGCAGCAGAGTGGGGAAGAATTGCCTCTGTCAGTGGCTCCGGGCAAAGGAAATCATACTAGAGAGAGAGAGGGAGAGAAAGGCAGTGATAGAGACTGAAAAACACAAGGAAGCAGACAGGCTGAGAGAGAGAGAGAGAGAGAGGGATTCTCATACTAATGAACCATCACTTCCTTGTCTCAACCGATGCCCTCTGAATCCCAACATCTGTCCCACCAAACCAAGCCTCATTATGGCACCCCTCAACTAACCCCACCCCACCACAGCTTCACACACGCACACACACACACACACTCTCACACACCCATTCGCGGTCACATCCCGTCGAAACGCTGGGCGATGGTGGGAAAGTCTGCCCCACTGTAGTTGTCACATCAGATCTACAGCACGACGGCCGAGGGCATATGCATGTGTTGTGTGTGTGTGAGATGTGGATGTGTGGGTGGGTGGTGGTGGTGGTGGGGGGATCTAGGTCTGGGGCTGTGCCTGAGGGCCTCGCCTGCGCTACAAAAGACTCCACTCAACTCCGGTTAGTCCCCCTCACTAGCATATCAGCACTGACGGACTGCACACACACACACACACGCAAATACACATACCGACACTGCACTTCAGCGATATTCGCTCTGATTAACACTTTCCCCCTAACTGATAAGCAACTTCATACTAGCATGGACAGGAAGCCACAGCTATGCCACCACGTGCGATCAACACAAGATAAAGTCAGGAATAATCTTTGCATTAGGTTTACTTTTCATGTGTCAATGTGTTATGTGCCGTTTTTTCCCTCATGAACACATGGGAAACTGGTGATTGATGAATGTGTGTAAATGTGTTTAGTAATGTGTGTGTGTGTGTGTGTGTGTGTGTGAGTGCGCGCGCGCACGCCGCGTGCTATCACTCTCTTGCTAGGGGTGACAGGTTGGTTGGGGACTAATGCAGCGCGACGGAACTGAATGTGGCCTCGAGCAAAGCAGCTGCCTGCAGCCAGTCCTCATCTGAGCTGTCAGACGCACACACTCACACACATTAGAATCCATTCCAATGGATAGAGAGAGTTCAGGATCCACACTCACACTTCTAAACACACTCATGAGCATTATAACCCCCGTCGCCCCTACTTTTCTGCTTGTGTGGCTTCCAGACAATAATAACTTGGATGAGGTGGTGGACATGACATGCTGGGTTTGGCTGGTTTGACTTGACACTCGTCTATTTGTTTTCTGGGGAACCACAGAACAGGGTTTTTTTTATAAACTCATCATAAGCTGTTGGTGAAAGAGTGCCATCAATAAAAATTGTTGTCCTGGGTTTCTGATGTGGTGCACTCTGTTGTTTTACTTTTAAATGTTCAGAGATTAATAGACAAAGCTCTACTGTATGCTTTGCTATGCTATGCTTTAAAGAGGTAGTGTTATTCTCATTTACAGGTTCAAAATCTTAATTAGGAGTTGTACCAGAACAGGTTTACACGGTTTAATTTTCAAAATACTCCATATTCCGCGACCCTGTACGCAGGATAAGCGGTTGACGATGGATGGATGGATGGATGACCATATTCTTCTCATACTGCACATTGCTGCAGATCCTCTTTTCACCCTATGTGTTGTACGCTCCGCTCTTGAGCTACAGTGATGCATCTTACTTGTTCAAAATCTTTGTTGGGAGTTGCACATGCGCAGTTCCCAGGTAAGGACTACTACCTAATCAGAAGCAGAGAAGGGCAGGTCGTAAGAAACAAGGTAGTGTGATCCAAATCAAAGCCGCTTCCGACTGCGACCGTAACCTAGCAGATGGTGTAAGTTACTCACAACCACACAACATCATTGTTCCACATCTTACCATAAACCACTACAGAAATCACCATATTTCAACTCACTTTTACATAAAAATTGGCTAAACAATTTGAACGTTTGCTCAGTAGCTTTCACATCGTGTGTAACGTTAGCATTATAGCTATAACTTTAGCTGTGTTAGCCAACATTTACAACAACTCCGCACTTGTACAGTCTGTGAAGTTACATTGCCGTGTTTATTTTAAATATAATTCACAACCAATAAATCATACTTACAGGTTGTGATTGTGAATTTCCAGGCTCAAACAGAGTCGGAGTTGCATCGTCTTTTAGGACTAAACATTGAACTGTTGCCGGTGTTCTGACGATCTATGCTGCCTTGCCAAAAAATGCTACCATAGCGCAAATCGATAGACTCGACTCTGCTCGGCCCTGCTCCGTTTTCCGTTGCAGATAGTACCCAGAGATAGTATGTAGCTTGTCA